TGGACGGAGTCTGGAGCAAACCACGACGTCAATGAGCACCACCAAACAAAAGGTTTAATGAGCAAAACAAGTGTGTTCAGTAAACCTTTGAACATTTCATAGCCGTCCTCTGCAAAACAACTACGCAAAATGACCGTGACCGCGAACGCGAACGATGAGTCGAACTGCTAATTTTCCTATTTCCATTTAGAATTGAGCGCTGTCATCACATCTTTAGCCTGAGCGAGGTTTTAGAGCCATAGGCATCCTGGAAAAATTCAATTTTACAAGGCTTTGTCCTCGGCGTCGCCGTCGTCGTTGTAAAGATCCCTATATTTGCATCTCGGATGCCCGAAGATCGATACACTTGTTTAACGTGGAGTCTGTCATCCTAAGTGGTTGCTTTATGCTTTGCTCATGTTTTATCCCAAGACCAATCGAGCGCAGATGAGAGTATCTTGTAAAGACCGTAAAAAATCACACAAATTGCAGTTCTTTGCCAAGGTTCTTTTTAATTCAGAGATTAAGTTGTCGAGCGTTTCGGTGGGAAGTTTTTCCCTCCTGCTGAAACAATCTCGTTTACGTTACTTCGCCGATGCAATACCTTTTCATCTTCTCCATTACTACACAGCAATCGTTTGCATCTTCTTCTTCAGTATAACTTAAGGCTTTGAACACTTTAAGGCCATCGTCATCCATAACGTCCTTGAACATGGCGAGTTGATACTCGGGGCTTTCCCGTTCCAAACCAAGTAATTATTACAGTATTTCTCTTGCCATAGCTTCCAGTTCTCGGGGATCTCGCTACTTAATTGACCTCAAATCTAAATGTTGTGGAGGCAAGGTAGAATAACACTGAAAATTGTGATGCGTTAGGCGGCGAGGCACCGGAAGTTGTTTTCGCTCGTAGGTATTCGTAGACGGTAGACGTTGTCGACGAATTTGAACTACCCATTCGCTGCAACATGTGATATCAGATGGTAGAGAGAACCTTAAACGAACGTCATCAATCAAGGCTTAATCTGGCTACTGTAACTCAAGATACACAGGGTGAACAGGTATTTTAATATATAACTGTATGTATTGCATAAATTACAAAGCCGTTACAGAACATAAGCGTGCATGTAAAGAATGTTTGGCAAATTAGCATATTATAGCCTTAGATTAAGGTATGTCCGCCATTTTGAATAATCAAATCCAGCAGGTGTCAGAAACTCGTTTGTCCAGTTTGGCTATGACGTCAGCACTTTCTCATTGGCTCACAGCCAAGCCTTTTGTTCTTTCTCTTTATAAGTACGACACCACCCGGATGGTTGGGCGGCTAATTAACTCCACTGCAATATACATATCTCTCTTAATCTCTCTTAAAACAACACCTCCTGCATATATAATCAAGTATTCTTCCTTAACCA